CACTCGCTCTACACCAACAAGGAAATCTTCCTGCGCGAGCTCATCTCCAACGCCTCGGACGCCCTGGATAAGATCCGCCTGCTCAACCTCAAGGGCGCGCAGTCGATCGACGCGGCGCCGGAGTTCAACATCACCATCCGCGCGGACCCGGAGAACAACGTCCTGCACATCACCGACACCGGTATCGGCATGACCAAGGACGACCTCATCAAGCACCTGGGCACCATCGCCAAGTCCGGCACCGCCGAGTTCATCGAGCAGTTCGCTGTGCGTGGCTGACCCGCCCTTTCCCCCTTTCCCCCGTCTCTCTCTCTCTCTCTCTCCCCCTTCCCCCCCCTTCATCCTCTTCCTCCTCTAACCCCCCACCGCAGAAGTCCAATGACCAGGCCAACCTCATCGGCCAGTTCGGTGTCGGCTTCTATTCGTCTTTCCTGATCGCCGACTCGGTGGAGGTGACCACCAAGCACAACGACGACCCGGTGCAGCATGTCTGGACCTCGGACTCCACCAGCGGCTACAGCATCCGCCCGGATGCGTCGGCCGAGGTGGCCCCCCTGGGCCGTGGTACGCGCATCTCCCTGCACCTGCGCGAGGATGCGCGCGCCTTCCTCGAGGAGGCCACCCTGCGCGACCTTGTGGCCAAGTACTCGGAGTTCGTCCACTACCCCATCTACCTGTGGACCACTCGCGAGGAGAAGCCCGAGGAGGGCGATGCCGCGGCCACCGACGCCGAGGCCAAGCCCGAGGCCGAGGTCACCGAGAAGGCCGAGGAGGAGGAGCAGGAGGATGCCGAGCTGGACCCCATGTTCGATGCCGATGCCGAGAAGTCCGAGCCGGCCAAGAAGACCGTCAGCTCGTACGAGCGTCTGAACATCAGCAAGCCCATCTGGACTCGCGCCCCGGCCGACGTGTCGGAGGAGGAGTACAACGAGTTCTACAAGGCCTTCACCAAGGACTCCTTCACCCCGATGGGGCACATCCACTTCTCGGTACGCACACACCTGTCTCTGTTTCTCCTTCCGCTGTTGTTTCCCCCTGCCACACATTTCACATTGATGCTCGGCGCCCTTGCCATGGGTGTCGCCCTTTCGTGTGTCACTGATCCCCTGTCTGCCTCGCCGGGTGTGGTGGTTTTTTTTTCCTTCCCCTCCCTCCCTCCCCCCTCCCTCCCTCCCTCCAGGGCGAGGGTGAGGTTGACTTCAAGTCGCTGCTCTACGTCCCGGACCAGGCCCCCTCTGAGCTCTACTCTCCGGAGGGTCTGCCCAGCGCCATCAAGCTCTTCGTTCGCCGTGTCTTCATCACCGACGAGATCACCGACCTCCTGCCCCGTTACCTGCGCTTCGTGCGCGGTGTTGTCGATGCTGACGACCTGCCGCTCAACGTCTCGCGCGAGACCCTGCAGCACTCGCGCCTGATGCGCCTCATCCGCCAGCGCCTCACGCGCAAGTCCCTCGACCTCTTCCGGACCCTGGTCGAGAATGAGAAGACCTCCGAGAAGTTCATCAAGGAGTACTCCAACGCCATCAAGGCCGGTATCCTGGAGGATCAGTCGTGCGTCGGCCCTTCTCCCCCCCCCCCTCTCCTCCCCTCCCCTTTTTTCCCTTTCACACACGGCCCCGCCACCAGACAATGCGTGCTCCCTGCCCCGGCTAACCTCTCCCCTCTGCTCCTTTCCCCTTCCTTGCCCTCTTCGGCCGTGTCTCGCGCCTGCCACCCCATGCACCTCTCTTTGCCCCGCCTGCTGTCTCTCCACGCAGCAACCGCAAGCGCCTGGCCAAGCTCCTTCGCTTCAAGACCTCCTCCTCCGATGGCAAGTGGCGCTCGCTTGAGGACTACGTCAAGGACATGAAGGAGAAGCAGACCAAGATCTTCTTCCTGGCCGGTTCCTCCATGGAGGAGATCAAGAACTCGCCCCTGCTGGAGCGTCTGGTGGAGCGCGGCTACGAGGTCCTCATGCTGCCGGAGCCCATCGACGAGTATGCCGTGTCCAACCTGCACGAGTTCGAGGGTCACAGCTTCCAAAACATCGCCAAGGACGACCTGGTCTTCGGTGACGAGGATGACGCCTCGCGGACCGCGGAGAAGCAGCTCGAGGCCGACTTCGCCGGGCTGACCACCTTCCTGGGGCTCATCCTCAACGATGAGGTGGAGAAGGTCCGCATCAGCAACCGCCTGACCAACTCCCCCTGTGCCCTGGTGGCCAGCAACTTCGGCCTCACTGGCAACATGGAGCGCATTGTGCGCGCCCAGCAGGCCGGCGGTGCCGGCTCCGCGCAGGACCCCCTGCAGCAGTTCTTCCTCTCGCAGAAGCGCATCTTCGAGATCAACCCCCGGCACCCGATCATTGTGGCCATGCGTGAGCGCTACCGCCAGCGCATTGAGAATGCCCCGACCGCCGCCCCGGAGCAGGGCTCCGGCGCCTCCGTCACCCAGATGGACACCGGCGACATTGTGGCCGCCGCGCGTGTGCTCTACGACGCGGCTGCCCTCCGGTCGGGCTACGCTCTCAAGGACACGGCCGGCTTCGCCAGCCGCCTGGAGCGCATTGTCCACGCTTCGCTGACCGCGGCCGCTGGCGAGACCGATCCCCTGACCTACATGCAGGAGACCGTTGTTGTTGGCACCGACGGCGAGGAGCCCACCTTCGCCTCGGACTTCCGCAGTGAGCTCTAAGAAGCCACACGAGAAGGGGAGAAGGCCTGGCGGGCGGGGGCAGACGGGGGCAGTAGTGCGTGCGTGCGTGCGTGCGTGCGTGCGTGCGTGCATGCGTGCGTGTCTCTGTCTTTCCCCCCTCCCTCTGCTTCCCCCCTGGGCGAGGGAGCAGGAGGGCCGCGGGGGCCAAAGAAGGATGCACGGCACCGGGGTCGCGCGAAAGGGCAGCGTGAGTTTAGCGCCAAGCCCGCCGAGAGTCCCCCCGCGTGCGCGCGCGCCCCCCTTCCTCTCCGCCTTTCCCCCCTTTTCGTCGGCTATCCCCCTCCCCTATGCGCGGTGCGCCTGGCGCATGCATTTGGTTGTGAGAATAGATTCACCCCAGTTTCTCCCGTGTTTACCCTTTGTTTGCCCTTCGTTTGCCCTTTGTTTGAATGTGCCCTATTCTCGCTCGCCCGCTCCCCTCTCCCCCAAGAGCACCTTTGACCGTGGTGGTGGCCGTTGTGAGCGTGTATATTTCGAGCGTATCGTCGGAAGAAGGAGGAGGCGCTCTACGCCGGAGGGAGGAGTGAAGATAAAATTACAAGGACAGGGGTCAAGTCTAAATATATCCCCGCCTGTGGGCGGAGCCTGGCGAGGAAGGAGAGGGGGGGGGGGGAGGGGGACAGAAAAATAGGGGGAGGGAGACAAGGAAAGAGGAGGAAATGCCGGGCGGCGCCGCCCAGCGGGGGGTCCCCCTGAGGTCGGGGTCCTAAAACTGTTGGGGCTGACTCGGGGAGGGAGGACCGCCGCCTGGGCCGGAGGTCGGCTGGTGGTAGTTCACCGCATCGGCCAGCGAGGCTGCCTGGTACTGAGGGTGCGCCTGGGACTGAGAGGGTGCCGGAGGATACTTGGGGTACTGTGGCTGCTGTGGATGGGAGTACTGCGGCTGTTGCGATGGTAGCTGCGACTGCTGGTGGAACTGCAACTGGGTGGGGGGCTGCTCCGATGGGTGATGGGGGTACTGGGATGACTGCTGTGAAGGCGGCCCCGAGGCGGACGGGTGCTGGGATCGCTGGCGGACGTAGACATACGCCCCGGACTGGGGGGCGTGCGCCTGCTCCGAGCCAGGGTCGGCTCCGGACCGGGGTGTCGGGTATGCGAAGGGGGGACCATGGTGCGGCGATAAATGGGAGCCCGGGTAGGCGGCCGCCGTGGAGCCCGTGTGGGAGGCGTGATGAGACACCTGCGCCTGTGGCTGCGGCGGCAGGTGGAAGCCCGGCCGATAGTGAGCCTTTGCCGAGGCGAGGGGAGACGAGATGATCCCACCAGAGTAGCTGCCACTGACCGAGTGGCTGGCCGATGAGGAGCCACTCTCCGGGCCATAGGCGCCGGCCGCTTGCGAATAGGCGGCCGGGCCGGCAGCATCGCCGGTCACCAGGGGCGAGGATGTCCCCGGGCCCGGGCCATGCGAAGGCCATCCACCGGCATTCGAGTGGCCGGACTTTGCATGGGAGCTCCCGGGCCGCGAAGCCAGGGCATGGTACCCCGGAATCGGGGGGGCCTGCTGCCGCGACTGTTGTGAATACTGCGCCGGCTGCTGCGGGGGGTGGTATGCGGCCGGCGATGGGCCCGGGCCCGGGCCCGGGACGGGATATTGCTCGATGTGCGACGGGGGGTCGGCGGTGCTGGTGCCGAGGCGCGGCGCACGCGGCGACGACAGGGCCACACCCGCCGTGGCCAAGTAGTGCTGATGGAGATGGGCATGAGAGGTGGTGTACGAGGGGGCGCCGCTCGCCCCGCCGGGAGGAGGAGCGCCCGACCCTGAGAGCGCCGTTCCCCGGGGCGGCGGCACGGCGCCACTGGCGACCGGCGTCGAGGCGGTGGAAGATGGCGGCCCCGAAGCAGGTGGTGGGGCAGACACCAATGGACGGTGGCTTGGGCCCGGCAGGGCGCCGACAGCCGGGCTCTCCGTCACCGCCGAGTGCTCGCCAGTGCTCATGGTGCCATATGGCCCGGTGGCGCCGCCGCCGCCGCCGCCGCTGCCGCCGCCAGCAGACCGAGCTCGCGCCTGCTGGGCAAGGAGATCCGGCGACGACTGCCCGGACTGAATGCGATACTGGTCGACCGGCTCGGCGCTTGGGGCAGCCCCGAGCGCCGGCGAGCTGAGATCCGCTGCGCCCGGACCCGGGGGACCGGCCGGCGCGTCACCGGCCCGATAGTGCCGGTACTCCGGATGCGGGGCCTGATATTGCGCTGACTGCAAGTGCTGGTAGTATGCCTGGGCGCCCGGGTGCCCGGACACCGGGTCGCCACCATGCGACCGCCGGCTGCCGAGGTAATGGACCTGCGGCGGGGCAGCACCCGTGACCGAGGGGAAGGCCCCGGGCCCGGCGCCACCGGACAAGGCGCCCAGCGAGGGGGAGCTCTGCGCGCTGGAAGAGGTGGCCGGCGTGGCATGCGCCGACAGCGGGTGGGGCGGCGGAGCCAGCGGCGAGGAAAGCCCGGGCCCCGGCTTGGCCGAGTGCCAGGCCGCGGCCCCCGGCCCCGGGGCCAATGTGGAGGAGGGCTGGTCTCCGGTGGCGGGCGAGGGGCCGGCATGGCGGTGGCGCTTGGTCGGTGGGTGTTGCGATGGAGGACCCGACGATCCGCCGGTTGTGCCCCCGCGCGGCAGGTCGGTCAGATCGATGACACTCGACGACTGGCTGGCCATGGGTCCACCTCGGACGAGGGCCGGCGAGCAGAGGGAGCTCGTGCTGGTGGGGGCCGAGGATTCGCCCTCGACCGGTCGCCGGGCTGGCCACGAGGGGACGGCGGCCGCCGGCCCACCAGACAGGAGGACCGCCTGAGCCTGCGATGGGGCCGAGGATTCCGGGCCATGTCGAGGCCGGACGGCGGTCGTTCGCGCCGCGGCCGCCGTGGCGGCAGCAGTGGCAGCGGCTGGTGCGGCCACGGCGGCCGGTGGCTTCCCTGACGAGGAGGCTGCCTGGTGGTACTGCGGCTGCGGTTGTTGCTGATGCTGCGGAGCCGACTGCGCTGGGACCGGCTGCGACACGGCGACCGCCGTGGTAGGGAGGTTGGAGTCGGCGATCTCCGCGCGCTTGGGGTAGCGCTTGCGGTCTGTGTCCACCAGGAAGGCGCTGAGCGAGCAGGTGGCCGTAGGTGCATTGGAGGGCGAGAGGAGGGGGGGGGGAGAGGAGAGGGGGAGGGAAGGACATGGGTTGGATGCGTTAGCACAAAGGCAATGACAGGAGAGAAGGCAAGAAATCGGGCGGATAGATGGATAGAGAGAGAGAGAGAGAGAAAGGAAGGGAGAGAGAGAGGGAAGGCCCAAGCGCACTTCATGGTGAAGTGCGGCGCTTCAGCAAAGTAGGGATGGCAGAGGGCCTGCGCCGCGGTGATCCGGTGGTTTGGGTTGTACTCCAGCAGGCTGCGAAGCAGAGACATCCCATTCGCCGAGGTCCGGCCGGCGATCATGCGCTCCAGCTGGTCTTGATAGCGGCTGTGTATGTGTAAGGGTGACAGTCAGCAGCTGAAGGGCGGTGCGGGGGAGAGGGAGAGAGAGAGAGGGAGGAAGGGGGGGGGGGGGGTGGGGGGGGGGGGGGAGACAAAACTTGGCGCCGGCAGGAAAAAGCGGAGGAGGACAAAGGCAGCACGCACTTCCCCATGGCGAGCATCTCCTTGTACTCGGGCATATTGCGAAGGTCGGGCCAGCGATCGACCGACGGGACGCCAAGCCATTCGAATATTCGCTCGAGCTGGCTGCGCTGGAAGGGCGATCGGTTGTTCCGATCCGGCCGGACTTCACGCCCGCGGAAGGGAGCCTGAAGGGTGAGCAGCTCGGCGAAAATGCAGCCAATCGACCAAATATCTGAGACCGAGGGCCGGCAGCGTCAGGAAACCAAAGCGGGAGGCAGTTGATGTATGTATGTATGTGTGTGTGTGTGTGTGTGTGCATGGGGGTCGAGGGGGGGGGAGAGAGGGGAGGGGGGGGGGGGGGGGCCGAGCAGGGAAGATCGAGTGAGGCGCGAGCGAAGGGTGGGCGCACTGATCCTGCAGAGCGGCCTTATAGACAACACCGTAAGTTCCCTGGCCGACCTTGGCCAGGCACTTGAATCGATCCCAGATGCTCTGCCGCCGGCCAACCGGCGAGCTGGGCACTAGGCTCATTGTGGCGGCGACGGCGGCAGCGGCGGCAGGGCGGCGGCAAGGCGCGCAAGCCGGTCCCGGGGAGAGGAGGGGAGGAGGGCGCGAGAGAGGGAGGAGGCCAGGAAGGTGCGGGAGGGGGAAGGAGGATGGCGAGGGGGTCGGGAGGAGGATGCCAGGTGGTCGGGCGGATTCAAGGCAAGACTGATTCAAAAAGGTATCCCGGCCGGGGGGGGGGGGGGCATGCTTGTGGCCCGGGGGGAGGCTGCCCGGCGCTCGGCGAGAGCGAAAGAAGCTGCGCCGCAGCGCCGGCGGTTTGGGGAGGAAAAAGGAACGAAGAGCCCGTGCAAACGGCCGCGGTGCGGCCCACGGATCCACGGGCGTAAACATGGGGAACCGCCCGTCGCCAACCGCCAACCACCAACCGCTGCCCTCGGGCCACCCCGGGGGGGGGGGGGGGGGGGCCGGCCCGAGAACTTGGCCAGATGCGACCAGGGGCCACGGCAGGGCGGGTCAAGATGGTCCGATCACCACTTGGCCCCGGCGAGGCGGACCAGCGCGGCCCGGACTCGGTCGGTCCGAGCGTCGGGGGGAACGAGGCTGCACGGGCTGCCCCGGGGGTGCCCCGGGGCGCTGGCGCGTGAGGCACCTGGGTGGGAGAAGTCCGTTGCTGGCTGTGCTCCCCCCCCCCCCCCCCCCCTCCCGCCCTTTCGTCCAGGGGCGGCCCGGCAATGCGGCGCCCAAGGAGCATCCATACCGTTGGCAGCCAGGCGTCCAGCCGCCGGAAGCATAACGTGGGACAATCGCGACTGGGGCGTCACGCATCGCATCAAATGGTGTTCCGGCGAAAGGAAATTCACCTTCTGGAATCCCGCGCGATCAGAACAACCCCCTCATTCTGGAATCGCACAGGCGCCAGGGTCCGGTCTGCAGGGCGGGGTCCGGCCTGGTTCGTGGCCCGGAACACGCTCCTCATTGGAGGACGCATGGTGTTCCGAGCCTTGTCAGAACGTCCCCTGCCCGGGCCTGTCCGGAGGTGGGGCTGCAATCTGAAGGTCAGGCCCGCCGTCGCTAGATCCCCCCCCCCCCCCCCTGCTTACCGGTTGTGCATCGGCGCCGGTCGGCCGTCTGTGCCTCCCGCGGCGGCGCCCGGGCCAGGCTCTCCGGCACTCGACGGGGCCCTTGGGGCCTCGTGCAAGTATTGTCTGTGGCTGGGGCCCACGCTCGGCGATGCGCGGGCAACTAGGTGACGGGCGGCCGAAAGAGGCGGCCTCGGGGGGGGGGGGGGGGAGGGTGTGACGAGCGCGCGACACCACCGGTTCCTCCCGGGCAGGGACCATGCCTATCGCGTCGGCCCCCTCCCGCCGGACGTGGAAATACGGACGCGCGCGCGCGTGTGTGCGTGCGTCCAGGCGCCCCCGGGGCCCGTGAGCCCGGTAACATTCGGGCTGTGCGCGCGCGCGCGGCTCACTCGTTGCTCATGGTGGTCCGGAGACCCGGGGACGCGAGCCGGCCGGCCCAAGGACCGAACGGGTGCGGTGGTGCTTTTTTCGGCCCCCCCCCGCCCCGACCCCGACCCAGGGGATCACTCACCACAGGGATTTCTCATTCATCAACGCCTTCCCCTCTCCCTCCCAGGCGCTCAGTGAATGGGGTCCGTTCCTCCTCCTCCTCCTCCTCCTCCTCCTCCTCCTCCTGCCGCCCTTCCTCGCGCTTGCCCATTTCGCCTTCGCCCCTGTCCCCCTGCCTCCTTCTCCCGGAGTCGCGCGCCTCCCTGGCCCATCGATCTCCGCTGTCGCTGCCGATGTGGCTGCCATCGTCGTTGTCGCACGTTCGCGTGCATGTGCGTGTGCCTGCACACACAGACCTGCGGCGGATCTACGCCAGGCCCGGCACCGACCCCGCTGGCTGTGTTGCGCACAACCGCAGAAACACACACACACACACACGCACCGGCGCGCGGGCTGTGTGGGCCGCACCTCCCCCCCCCCTCTCCCCCTCTCCCTAGCCCCC